AGTGCACAGACAGGGTGGGAAGCAGTTCCCAACCCGTGTGGCATGTGAAAAACAAAGCCATTCGGCACTTGGAATGCATTGCTAAAGACACCCATGTAATCATTTGAAATGAAAACTGCTCAAATGAACTGGAAAATGTTTTACTTGTATTTTCTCAAATTCCCGAACCTTTCTTTCCATGGTTCAAAAGTTTGCATTGTCTAATTGCTGATTTCCATTTGTGAATGAATCAGTGTAAAATAAAATTAAGTGCCACATTAATCTACCCATCTAGTTTTAGGCATTAATTATCCTCTGAGCCATTTTCTCCTGTGCTTGCCACGTGTCAAGACAAGCCTGGATATGGTGATGAAGAATCCATTTTTTTGACTCAGAAATTCAAGCCCCAGAAGTAGAGGATGTCCTTGATCTATAAGATCCACAGTTTACTGTGCAAAAGGGGCCTGATTCCAGGCAAATGAAACACATTTCTCACGTGTTAAAGGCATACTAACACTGTCAGCCTGAATAAGTCACCGGAGTGGAAATTCATTGAGTGGTTTTGTGACATGCATCCCCAACTGTTGCATTTGATAAGCACAATATATATAACAGGGTTATATATATATATATATAAATGTATATAACAGGGTTACCCTTAGCCTGGCAAATACGGCATTGTTTAGGGAAGAAGGTCAGAAATTGCATGTGTTTTTATTCCAGATCCATACCAAGGGACACCTTACCTTCCTACTTCTGCTAAAAATCCCCCAGGCTTCCAGGATATAATTATAAGATCTTGAATGCCCCAGGGAAAGAAAAACACTACATACTTGGTGAGTTTATCAAAATCACCACCTTTGGAGACTGTGTGGGTATCAAGTTGGGCACCTAGAGGGGGCAGTATATCTCCACAAAGCCATGAAAACCTTGGAGACACAGGGCATAGAGCCCCTGACCCTTTCTTTGTGAGATTCAACATTATCAAAATCTTTCTAGGAGGAATGAAACATTCTTGACCCAGTATTCCTGAATGTAAAGGCAACACCAAGATCCCCTTCAGCAAACGCTGCTAGGAAAGAGAGAGACTGCTACTGCTGGGGGTGGACAGCTGGCAGGCTCTGGAGGGAACTCCTGAGGACCCTCCCCTGGAGCAAAATGTCATGCTTTGGGGAGAATGGCTGCATAGCTGAGCATGCACCAAGAGCTGTTACACTGGTGTCCAGGGATAGAGCACCTCTGCTACACATGCAGGATGACCAAGACAGTCAGGGCCACCAAGCCATCAATCATGCTCTGGGCTGTGTGGGAGCAGTTAAAGCCACGAGGAAGGCAGACTGTTCAGTAAGTAGCCTCAGGCTCCCTCTCGGTTTGGCATTGGGAGCAGAATGAGGTTGGAGTGCGCCTCTGTGATTCTTAGATGAAAACAGGAGGGTCATGCTCAAGGGGTCCTGTTGATAATGAGGAATAGCTGCAGCACTTGAGTGATTAATTAGAAAAATTAAAGAGATGGGAGCAAATATGTGGCAGCCCGACTCAGTGCTCAAGTGCTGAGTTTATTCTGATGTCAGAGTTTGGGAAGAAGGAGGTAAGGTATAAATTTGCATTATGTATATAAAACAATTTGCATCAGGAATAAAGGGATATGTTTCCTTTAGGCCAAACTCAGTACCGACATCCTTCCAGGCAGTAAGGAAAGCAACAAGAAGAAAACCGGCAGGGGAGACCCTGTGCTCCAGGGGAGGATGTGAGGCTTTGAATTTCCCCCCAGCCCTCTAATAACACCTCTGTGCTTGCTTTGCTGTAGACAAGCTTGGAGGCCTAAACAGTCAAGTTCTCACTTTTCTTAGCTACCCCAAGAGGAAAGGAACCTGTCAGCTTCCTAAAAAGGGAGAAGGAAAACAAAGTCAAAAGGAAAAGCTCAAGTTGCGTCTTGTCTGTTTGAAGGCACAAAGCAGAAGAGAAACAGGTTTTGTGCAGAGGTACCCTGGGACCCTGGGGAAGGAAGCCTAAAAGCTGGGAGTAGGACAACATTACATTTGGAGAAGTTTTAATGAGCCGCAGCAGCTCTTTGATAGGCTCTGATGTTAAGATGGAAAGGGAGCATTTGCAAGTGTGAGCTTTCCAAGAGTGTGGTGTTTAGGAAGCAATTTTCCCTCTTGCCATCTTTCCTACTGGGGTTATTCAAATGAGGCCTGAAGTCATCAGGGCAGTGGGGCTGGGGTTCCAGGGACTGTGATTTCCCCACCAGAGCTGCCGCTCTGGGAAGCTGTACAACAGCCTCCCTGAGATGGATTGAGTAGTCATGAAATGAAAGGCATAAAATTAAAGACAAGATTAATAAAATCTGATGAAAGAAAACGCTGCGAACCAACCCAGCAGCTCAAATTACATTTACCGCATTAGACAGGGACAGGGTAATCATGAGTAATAAGTTCAGGCTCTGGAAAGAAAACATGAGCTAAATAACTTAACAACAGGTATCACCAGGGGAAGGCCCTGACTCACCTTCCCAGGAAAGACTCAAGGCAGGGCATAGAGCCCATCAATCACACCGAGAGACAAATCTCACTTGGTGGGGCTCCTGGGTAGCCAGCCCTGGACTCTCAAGTTGCCTCGGAGCTCTACCTAGAGCCAGAAATGTGACAGCCTCCAGGTGCAACCTCCACTCAGGGGGCCTCCACCCCACTGCTTGGTGGCTACCATCCATTCCATTCCAACCTCCGCACGATCAAGCACAATCATTATTAGGCACAGGCTGTCTTGAACCTATTATATATTTCTGCTGCATCAGCTGGGTCTATTCCCTGATATTGGGGGTGTCTTTAAGTTTCAGAAAACTGTTCTTCTTCAGGTCAGTCTGAACCCCCAGATAGCAGCCCAAACGTCCTGTTTTCTGCAGGTCTTCCTGCTGCCCCTCTCCCCAGAGCCCCCCAAGTCCCCCAGTTCCCAGCTATTCTTGCTACAGCTTAGTGTGGCAGCAATCTGATATATGGATTGATATCAACCCTCCAAGGAGTCTCTCTATAGAACAATGAGCCAGGAAAAGCAAATTGACTGTTCAGGTTGTGCTTCTGGCCTGTGTAGGAGAGTCACAGACCTTCTCTGGACCTCATGTGTAGGCCAAACCTGTGAGCAGAGAAGGCTCCCCTACCTCTGCCACCTCCTAGTCCTTGTTCAATGGATACAGCCTTACCCACTGCTCCCTTCCTGCCCTGTGCAGCTTCCCTTCTCCAGGCAGGACCAAAACCCAAGCCTCCTGGCTCTGGCCCAGAAGTGGTCAGATGGTATCCCAGGAAGAAGCTATTTGGATTTAAGGCAAGTAATACTCTAGAAATCAAGTCCTGTTCATAGAAGAGGAGTTCCTTCTGCTCAAAGACTGAAGATACCCAGGAATTTGGGTTTCAGATCTGGGGGTCTCCAGAGGAGTAGTCTTCAGATTCTCTGCTCCTTCCCATCCCTGTTCCCTGGACCAAGTTCCCCTGTCCTGCTCCTTGACTATATTCACCTTCCGCCATGGGTTCTTTAACTCCCTGCCTGATTGGCTTCCCACATTTGGGCTCACTGAGGCCTGTCCACGCCCTCAGGATCTCCACTACCCATCCTGCTCCTAGCTCACAGCTGAGGTTCCCAGTGGACCAGGAACATCTGACTCCTCCCAGCAGGCAAACTCTTTATTTTACACTTGGACATCTGAGTCCCTCTTCATAAAGCAGGTCACCACCTTCCAGGTAGAAAAAAACAAAAAGTGGAGAGATATTACTCCCAGAAGATCTTCACCATGAGAGAGGTAGAGAAATAATTAGGACTTTCACTTTGCTTTGGTTTCTCTGAGAGCTGGTTTAAAGAAGGAATGGGATCCCATTCTCCTAGAATAAAATAAGTTGATCAGAAACTCAGCTGACCAGAGCTCTCAACATATCAGACCTTCTTTCCCACTCTCTGTCTTTCAGAAATGGGGAACTGAAAACAAGAACCTAGTTACACTCTCACCTACTTGTCTACCTGTCTAAAGCTTATTGAGCACACAGGATTTTGTCAGACATGGCACCAAAGGCTCCTAGATCCTACCTTGGGGACAATGTACAGGTGTTATCCAATAAGCTGGCCCATCTGAATCTCCAGCCTAGGATCCAGCTTGCTCTTCTGAAAGAGGCAGCAGCACAGCCCCAGTCTGCAAAGACTCAATCTCTGCTCATCAAAGTCTACTTGCTTTGATCAGCAACTGAACTCAGCCCTAAGTTCTCGAAAGACATACATCAAATTGTCAACAGTAGTCGCCTGAGGGCTGGGGCTGAGTGGGAGGAGACAGAGGGTACTTTTTCTTTTCCACTCTACCAACTCCACATGGCTTTTTCTCTTTTTATATGGAGAATGTGCTTCTAGACTCTTTCAAACATTAAAATCAATCAATAAATGGCCCAAAAGGAAAAGGATTCAGGCCCTGCAGAATTTCTGATGGCGGCTAAAGGTGGAAGAAGAGCTAGGCAGGAAGGTACCCACTCTTCGTAGCCACAGAATGGCTCAGAACAGACTCAGGTATTCTCAAAGCTGTCCTCCCCAGACGGACATGGCTCAGCTCACTCCCTTTGGCTGGTGTCTTCCAGTGTTCTGTCCCTGAAGACCAAGAGGCTCCATATTTCCCGTCAAATCCTCCCCTGACTTTCTTAAACTCCTACTGCCCCTGAAGACTTGAGGAGTGGGTACCTGGCTCAAGCTCGCCTCACCCAGGTGATCCCCTCCCCACCTGAGAGGTGCGAAGGACATGCAGTGCTACTTTCCTGATTCCAGAACCTCTCAGCACCCCCTAGTCAGAGACAGGATTGTCCCCAGGGTGACAGGATGAACAGCTGTGAAAAAACAATTTTTAGAAGGTGAAGTCAGACTCTCACCAATCTTCAGAGGCACAAACCTTGCCTTGCTCTCCGCCCTGGAGCAACACAGGACACTGAAGCTTGGCAGCTGGAGAGGCCACCAAGGCCCCCTGCACCTCAGTGATCACCAGCCACCGGTGCTCTTACCTACAGATGTAATTCGTCTTGCAGGAATCCTGCAAACTCAAGCAGTTGGGCTTCTCCCGCTCCTCATAGGAACACACAGGCACGATGGTCTGCCGCCTCCGCTCTGTGCAGGCGATGTCCCGGCAGGAGCAGAACAGCATTCCATAGCTGTGCTTGGCAGGGACCTTGTCAAAGAACTGCCGCAGGGCCTTGTGGCACTTGCGGCGGTTGCAGACCTCGTTGGACATGCTGGTGGTGCACGGGGTGATGTAGGCGCTCCTGTACTTCTTGCAGGTGTCGTCCAGGTTGCAGGCCTTGGCTGCGTCCAGGCAGTTGTTCCCTTTGGGAATGTGCTCCACTGTAAAGCAGAGAGAAATGGTGAGACCGCGGGTCAGCTTGAGGTCTGCCCACGCCTCTCCTGTTCTCATTGAGATCTTGACATTCACCTGGCCACGCTGGCAGCTCTAGAACTCAACAAATTTTGAAGCTAATAACTTAATGACTTTGTGGCAATGAGAAAGTGTTAGCGGTGCGAACAATGGGAATGTACAGCAACACACAAGCCCCCAGTATTCCCCTCGATGTGAAAATAAGGAGAAGCTATGGAGTGAGGCCAAAGGAACTCAGGCACCTGCCTGGCTAGGAGCAAACAAGGCAACAGGAGAATGCTTCCAGCTCCTGCCCTATAAACTGAAATTAGGATCAAAGAAAACAGCAACAAATTATATACTTGTTCATGATACAGTATATAAATGATATGCTGAATGCAAGTATAATTGCCATGCAATCCTTCAGGAATATAATTATGTAATAAATGCATATAGTACATGCTAATTACTATATGATTACAGAGTAATTACATGGTTATTTGAGCCCAGAAGACAAAATATTATGCCAGCCTCTCTAAACAGGAAGAAGCAACTACAATGAAGCTGTATTTAAGTTTCAGCTTACAGGCCATTGGAAGAAAACCAGAATAAATCACATAAAAATTTGCAAACTTCAATTACCACTTAACTCACCACATACAAAAAGTCAGCTCTGTGAGTACTGAAGTTTCCAACTAGGAAGATTCAGCTAGAATTTTTGGATAGAATTTCAATGGGCTTCAAAGCTTGGGTTTTAGGAATCTCACAAAACATATGCTGCCTTCCACTTAAACCCTCTCTGCTCAGGCTGCCAGAGAAACCAGTGCCATCCACCATGGGGCTGCTCCCCTGCAGTCTGGATGACAGCACGGGGGCATGTCCACTGGGTGGCTGGGCACACTGGCCATCACCCCATCCAATGGGTAAAGTTACAAATAAATGGACAAGGAGAATTGAGCTGGTTCCTACATAGGGGTGCTCTACAGGGAGAAGAAAGTGATAGAAAAACTTTCCAGAATCAAATGATAAGTGGAAGACTGATAAGCAGGTGTACCAGTGACCCTCTGGGGAAGAGAGGAAGGCAACAGATGAGTAATGCATAACTGTGAGATTAGACACAAGTCTAATCTCAGTCCCTGCTCAGCCCTCAGCCCCTCTGTGGATTCTGTGACTCCCTTTCAACCTGTTGATGAGGTCATTTGGGAGAGGGTCCAGATAGTTGTGTGGGACTTAAAGACAGGGTGTTGTGCTTACTGCACATGTAATTGGCACATGGAATGGCAGTCTGTCTTAAAAAGGAAGGGAATCCTGTGCTCCAGAACAACATGAATAAACCTTGAGGACGTTACATCAAATGCAACAGAGTCACAGAAGGACAGATACCGCATGACTCCACTCCTATGAGGAATCAAAAATACTTGAACCCACAGGAACAGAGAGTGGGTAAAATGCTGGCTGGGTTGGGGGATGGCTGGGGAGTTGCTACTCAAAGAGCTTAAAGTTACAGCTCTGCACACTAATAAGTTCTAGGAATATGCCTACAACGTCCTTCCTAGAGTTACCAATTCTGTATTGTGGTCTTAAAATTTTGTCAAGAGAGTGAGTTCCATGTTAAATGTTCTAATTATGACTTAAAAAAAATTAAATGAAAAAAAAAGGGCACACGAAGTAATTTCAACATTTCAGGGAAAGGAAAACCTCCTGTGGTACTGATGAGTCTTGCTTTAAAAATACCCCAAAGGGCTGGGGATGTGGCTCAAGCGGTAGCACGCTCGCCTGGCATGCGTGCGGCCCGGGTTCGATCCTCAGCACCACATACAAAGATGTTGTGTCCACCGATAACTAAAAAATAAATATTAAAAATTCTCTCTCTCTCCCTCTCTCTTTTTTTTTTTAAAAAAGATCTTTAAAAAAAATACCCCAAAACTCTGAAACCACAGCATTCTACCCTGGCACCACGAGCTGTGTTTTATTGTGTCCCAGGTTCATGTGTCTGACATCTGAATTGAGGATATTTAATGTGGAAGACAATAAACAAGAGATTCAGCCTTTCTGGGGTATGCAGCGCAGGGGGTGAGCAGCTGCACAGGCAGCCCGCCGGGTTAACAGGCGCACCTGGAGCTGTCCCTCTGCCATGCTCTTCCAGGCTTCTCTGCCCCTCACTCAGGCTCCTTGGGACTCGAGGAGGGAAGAAGCCATCATGTTCCTTTACAGGGACATCAGGGCCTCTAGGCCTTGGCCACACTTCCAGCCTTCTCTTTTTAGACTTCTAATGATGTGCTGTTAGGCCCAAAGACAATGATTTCTATTCTGGAAGGTCTACCATTTTCTAGATTTCTAAATTATGCATTTTAATGATAAGCTGAAAGAAAGTAATAAACTGTACTCTACATCATCTGGATCGGAGCCGTAAGGCTGAAGCTAGGTATGTGTACCATTTAACTACCTGCATGTACTTCTGCATTGGTGCACAATGAATGACACTCTATAATCTTTCACTAAAAGAAAAAAGAAAAAAAAACCCAGAGGCACAGAAGTGAATGAACAGAAAAGGGATATAGTCAGTGATATATGAACAAGCAGTTCAGGCAAGTTCAAATGGAGAAAAACGGCAGAAGAATGACATCAGCACATGGCACCTAGCAACATAAGCCTGCCAAACTGGAACACCCATTCTGATTCCAAGGGCTACATTCAGATCATAGGCACCAACTGAGTTTCAGCAAAACACTATCATCCCTTATACAAAATTAATGTTATTAGCTTGCGATTCATTTTTTCAAAGTTTGGTTTATACTTAATTTAAATGTATGGCTTTTATAGTTATGTAACAACAAAGAATAAAGCTTTTTATGTTTATCAATCTTATAGAATATTGCAATAAAAATAATAAAAGTCAGCACATCACATCCAGGAAATTTCTTTTTCTTTGGAAACAGTCCATATAATAACACACAAGCTTTAAAAAAATTGGTCTACTGTGTATCTTCTTTTGGTATAATAACGTTAGTTGCCTTTTTGAAGTTGTTAAAACTGTATAGCTATTAAGTTTTTCCTCTTGATGTTATCAAAAAAAGAAATGTAATAATTTAAAGGAAAAGCTTTGTACAAAGTGGAAAGCAGGGTAAGCTATTTTATGTCTAAACCAATTGCTCAAAGTTAACTTCATTTAGCAGTGGCTGTGACCTAGCCTTACTTTGTTCTGATGCTGTTCTCATCACTCTACAAGCCTTGTCAGAGAACCCTCTCCTTACCACTGTTTCAGAGTCTTTGACAAATTCCAGAATGTATAACCAGGAACATTCGGTAGGACAAAAATGATTATTCATGTCCAGATCACAGGTCAATGTGTGACAACCTTTTTGTTTCTGATTCAAAATTTTCACAAAAAGCATTCTCATGACCCTTCTCAACTTGATGTATGAGATCAGAATCACCCTGATATAAGAACCAACAAAGAGGAAAGAAGAAAATAATAGATGAAGACTGCTTGCAAACATGGATGTAAAACTCTTCCCTGAATTTTGGTAAATTTTATTTAGCAATATCTTAAGAACATATGGTACTCTGACCAACTGGGTTTCAGCCCAAGAATGCAAGATTGGTTAATATTTAAAAATTAGTAATAATTTAGCACAGTAATAGAATACAAGACAAAAACTACATGATTGTTTCAATAACCAAAGAAAAAAGCAACTAACAAATTTTAATACTAATAAATGATCAGCAAACTAAGAGACAAGAATCTCCCCAATCTGATAATGAGCAACTATGAAAAACCTAGCTATAATCACATCTCATGGCAACATATTGACTGCCACTCCCTAAGATCAGGAACCAAGGATGCCCATTTTTATGCCTTAGAGTCAACACTGCACTGGTACTCCTAGTCTCTGCAACAAACCAATGGAAAGAAAGAAAAAGTGGAGAGATTGGAAAGGAAGACATCTCTATTTGCAGGTGACTTGGAAAAATCCTAAAGAATCTACAATAAGTGAAGGATACAAGTTTAATACACAAATATAAATTGTCATTTTTTTTGAGTTTAAAAGTTTGATTTTTTTAAATTTTATTTTTTGACAAATTAACAATTGCCTAAATTTATGGAGTGCAATGTAATACTGTTTTATACACACACACACACACACACACACACACACATATTGTGGAATGATTAAATCGGCTACTTAACTTTAAATTAAGAAAATTTTAAATGTAACTCTGTTTTTACAATAGTACCAAATAAAAAATAAAAGCACTTAGGAATGAATCTAACAAAGCAAGTGCAAGACCACTACATTGATTTAAAAAAAATAAAAGAGCACAACTGGTAAAAATAAAAGACCTAATAAATGAAAATGTATACCATGTTCATGGATCAGAACACTCAATATTATTAACATGTCGATTATCTCCAAATCCTAGTATTTTGGAATTGGCAAGCAGAGTCTAAAATTTACATAGAAATGCAAAGAATACAGGACAGCCAAAGCAATATGAATGAGATAGCAAAGTTGAAGGACTTACACTGATTGGCTATAAAGCTACAGTTACCAAGAGTGTGGTATAGCATAGGCATAAACAAACAATGGAGAACTCATAAATATACCCACATCAAATATGCAGTCATTCTATTTTTGATGACACTAATAACAGAGAAATTCTTTGTCACAAATGGTACTAGATTCTCTGTATATGAAGCTCCAGAAGAGGTGAAACTAATTTATAATTTTTTTAAAAAAGTCAAGAGTGGTTGCTACTGGAGAACAGGAATGGGGACTGGCTTGGAAGAAGGAACTTTCTGAGGTGCTGAGAATGCTCTGTCTCTTCACAGGCATGTGGGTTGAGTGGCTTGGATCAAAGAATGGTATCAGAAAATGAGCACTGAAGGTTTGTGCCTATGTAAACATCACCTCAAAAAAAAAAAAAAAGAACTAGACAGACAATGAACACTGGTTAGTGATATATATGTTGAAGCATGTAAGACAAG